CTCGCGGAACGGTGATGGGTGGCTAATATTCACTTGTCATTGCACGAGAGTAAGGCAAAGGTTTTAGGGATGCCCAGTCCCGAAATGCAAAAACGAATTTACTTTATGTTGTCAAATAATAAATTCCTTGGAAAGTGTTGGTATGGAGGGCAACCGTGGATACGGCTAGCCATGAAAAGTGAAAGTATGGTGGAAAAAGGAATAAATTTTATTTTCTATTTGGGAACCGCCTAGGGCATATCTAGCATGGAAAGTGTTCGTAATTCTAAGTCATTTTCGTTGGTTGGATGGATACACCTCCCAAAATGTTTTTATATCTAATTTTTCGCTTTGAGCTCTGGCACCTCTACAAATCCCTACTTCCCTCTGTGAAGGGCCTTTATTTTACTTTATGCAATTTTTATTTTTAAATTTGAGTCTCCATCTTCTCTTATAAAGGCACCAACTAGGAGGCAATATGATCGTACTTAAGTACTGGGTGTAGCTAATATTTGAGTGTGTTTCATGAATGGATCAATGGTTGAGCATGATGGGCTAGGGATAACTTATTTTAGCATTGATATTCTGAAAGACATGGTTGTTTGTTGATATGCTTGAGTATCTAAATTATTATGTCAAAACTAGACTATTGCTTTGAATCACATAAAAGTTCAATTGTCCATGCTATAAAGAAAAGAATATGACATGGCATGTTAAGCAGCATTCCACATAAAAAATTCTGTTTTTATCACTTACCTACTCGAGGACGAATAGGAGTTAAGATTGGGATGCTGATACGTCTCCAACGTATCTATAGTTTTTGATTGTTCCATGTTGTTATATTATGAATCTTGGATGTTTTATACTCATTTTATATCATTTTTTGGTACTAACCTATTGACATAGTGCCAAGTGCCAGTAGTTGTTTTCTGCATGTTTTTTACATCGTAGGAAATCAATATCAGATAGAGTCCAAATGCCCCAAAACTTTACGGAGAATTTTTATGGGCCAGAAGGAACACAACGGGCCCTGGCTGCACCTCAGGGTGCCTCGAGGGAGGCACAACCCACCAGGGCGCGCCAGGAGGCCCAAGCGCGCCCTGGTGGGTTGTGCCCACCTCGGGTGCCCCCCCCCCCCAGACCGCCTCTTTGCTCTATAAAAACCCCAATATTCCAGAAACCCTAGGGAAGTCGACGAAATATTCATCTAGCCGCCGCAGAGTCCAGAACCGCCAAATCCAATCTAGACACCATCTCGGATGGGGTTCACCACCTCCATTGGTGCCTCTCCAATGATGCGTGAGTAGTTCTTTGTAGACCTATGAGTCCGTAGTTAGTAGCTAGATGGCTTCCTCTCTCTCGCTGAATTCTCAATACAATGGTCTCTTGGAGATCCATATGATGTAACTCTTTTTGCGACGTGTTTGTTGGGATCTGATGAACTTCGAGTTTATGATCAGTTATATCTTTTTATATCCATGAAAGTTATTTGAGTTTCTTTGATCTCTTATATGCATGATTGCTTATAGCCTCATATTTCTTTTCCAATATTTGGGTTTTGTTTGGCCAACTTGATCTATTTATCTTGCAATGGGAAGAGGTGCTTTGTAGTGGGTTCGATCCTACGGTGCTTGATCCCAGTGACAGAAAGTGAACCGTCACGTATGTATCGTTGCTACTTAGGATAAAACGATGGGGTCTATCTCTACATAGATAGATCTTGTCTACATCATGTCATCGTTCTTATTGCATTACTCCATTTTTCCATGAACTTAATACACTAGATGCATGCTAGATAGCGGTCAATGTGTGGAGTAATAGTAGTAGATGCAGCCAGGAGTCGGTCTACTAATCTTGGACGTGATGCCTATATAATGATCATTGCCTGGATATCGTCATAATTATTTGAAGTTCTATCAATTGCCCAACAGTAATTTGTTTACCCACCGTTTGCTATTTTTCTCGAGAGATACCACTAGTGAAATCTATGGCCCCCGGATCTTCTTTTTCATATATTTGCCTTTACGATCTACTTTTTCCTTGCGTTTATTTTCAGATCTATTAAACCAAAAATATAAAAATATCTTGCTGCAATTTATTCTTATTTATTTTGTTTGGTGTTCGATCTATCAATCTACTAAATTTTCCTCACGTCTGTTTTGCCTATCTTGAGGCGCCGTACCCCGGAAGGGATTGACAACCCCTTTAGCACGTCGGGTTGTAAGGATTTGTTATCTGTGTGTAGGGGATGTTTATGTTGTATTGCTTGGTTCTCCTACTGCTTCGATAACCTTGGTTTCATATCTGAGGGAAATACCTACCGCCGTTGTGCTGCATCATCCCGTCCTCTTTGAGGAAATACCGACGTAGCTTTAAGCGACACCAGTTACTCCTCCGGGGCCGGAGGCGAGGTGTCGAGCACAGGAGTGGAGCAAGAGGAGTGCGGCGAAGATGCCGGGAGGACGATGAGGCTGACGCTGGAGATGTTGCTCATCTCGGCCGAGGAGGTGGGCGGGAGGGGGGCAGCTGACAACGCGGCGGGACCGTCTCGTCAGAGGGTGCCAGCGCGCGCGACCGACCTGCGCCCGCACCCACACGACTAGGAGGAGGGTCGGAGGGATCCCGCGAGGGGGAGCTGCTGTGTCCCGAGCGCTCGTCGTCGTCTTCCGGGTCCTCGTGGCGGGAGGGACGCGGGCGGCAGTAGTGGGAGTCGTCGCGCTTGTCCGCGCCACCCCCACCAAAGTGGCCATCATTAGAGTATCGGGGGCGGCCGACGTGGTTGAGGGGCTCGGGGTAGATCTTGAGGTCGAATCCCAGGTCGTTGAAGAAGACTCGAACGGTGGCGCGGAGCTTGGAGGAGTCCAGACATTTGACCTTGACCCGGACCTCCTCCTCTTTGCGGAGGGAGAGCTCGTCCACCACCACCACCTTGCCGAGTATCTTGGACATAGTGCGAATCACCCTCTCAGAGAGGGCGATGTCGGGGAGCCCCGCTATGAGAATCCAGGCCGTGTCGAGGACGACAACTGCCTTGGGGTCCACCTGAGGCTGAGAGATGTTGACGACGAGTTGTTGAGGGCAAGAGTGATGTCGTCCCTGCGGGTGCATAGGCCCAAGCTGATGGCATCCGGAAAGATCACGGTGAAGGAGTTGTCCGCGGTCGGAGTCGCTTGCCAGTCCCAAACGCGCCGGCATAGGTGGTTGAGCTCGGCCTCGATCATCTCCGGGGATGCGACACCCGCCCCCATAATGGTGACGATCGCAAGGAGCGACGGGGAGGAGGGGGGATGTCCTCCGCCTCGATGTGGAAGAATCTGAGACCCTCGATGCCGTGGACGTACATCATGAGCTCCTCCGACACCGGTCGGTCCGATGCCCTGACGGTTGAAGCTTTGGGTCTCGTATTCGGGTTGTACCTTGTGCAAAGGATGATGCAATCGTCTTGTTATTAACTCTGACAATTTGAAGGTCATTGACACCATGAAGAATGGAGGACTTTCTATGGGTGCAGTGGCGGTGGCCTTTGACGACTATTATAATTTTTCTTGTTTTTAAGTTCGGACTTTGGTGTACTCGCTAGGTTGGCTAGATTTCTTCAACTTTTGATTGGTTTGAGGAGCCTCTGAATAAAATTGTACGCATCGACGATGTATCTTTTTTTTTACATGGAAAACGATGTATCTATTATTTCAACTGAATAAAGTTTGCATGGTTTTGTTTAAAACAAACACATCTTCCTAAAGAAACATGGTGGGTTAGTAATAACTCAAACAGTGCCTCAAGATCAATCTTGTGTTGTTGTCCCCGCGGTGTTTCAACGGTCGAGCTCAAGTCAAAGGTCGACGGAGAAATCTTATCTGCAGAGTAAAAGGAAATGGAGAGAGTACTCCTGAGTACTCGTATTTCGTAAGCAGTTGATGCACGAGATCTAAAGCAGAACCTCCATTTTAACTCAAGGAGCATCTCATATCTCGCGCCATTATCCCTTGATGCTTTTCAATGGCTAACTTCAAGCCAAAGGTTGAGGGTGTACTTCTGAGTGCTCGTATTTCATAAGCAACCACCACGTGAGATCTGAAGAAGAATCTTCATTTTAACTCAAGCAGCATCTCAGATCTGCCACGACCTGAGATCTGAAGCAGAGTCTTCATTTTAACTGAAGCAGCATCTCAGATCTTGCGCCGCTGTCCCCTGCTGCTTTCCGACGGTCCAGCTCAAGCCAATGGTCGACGGAGTCTAGGTACTCAGTAGTCAGTATTACATAAGCCATGGCACGAGATCTGAAGCATAGTTTTGATTCGGCGCCACCGAACGCCTTGGTGGCAGCCATTATTTTACTTCGTCCCATGATCTTTTCGGAGAGGGAGGGCATTGACCCGACGCCGCACATCTCTTTATATACCCCTGCTGCTGCACATCGCTGTCCACACACACCTCCACCTCCACCGCTCCACGCACACTAGTGCTGCTACCTGCTGATCGCTCTGCCTCTCCCTGCGCACATCCCACATCAACCCAACCAACTACGCCTTGAGTCACCTCAACGCCTTGAGGCAGGGGGAGTTCACCGGTGGTATGTTCATCTTTCTTCCAGCCAATCCTCATCTCGATTCTTGAATCATCGATCTGCAATCACCACTGTTACTCTGTTAGTGACTTTGACTTGTATAATAATCAATGCATGTATTTGCTAATGGTGTTACAGCCGCCCGACGATGGACACCGCCATCGGCGCGGCCAAGTGGGTGCTGGGCAAGGCGCTGGCCCCAGTCACCGACGGCTTGCTGGAGTCCTGGGCCGCCAGTGCTGAGCTTGATGGCAACATCGATGCCCTGAAGATGGAGCTGCTGTATGCGCATGGGATGCTCTAGAACGCGCAGGGCAGGGACATCCGCAGCGCGGCGCTCAAGGAGCTCCTGCGCAAGCTGGAGCAGCTGGCGTACGGGGCTGATGATGTGCTCGATGAGCTGGAGTACTACCGCATCCAGGACGCCCTTGAAGGAACCTACCATGCCACCCGCATGAACTCTGTGGATTTTGTCAAGGGCCTCCGCATCAATGTTGAACACACGGCGAAACACGTCACCAGCAAACTCAAGTGCCTCCCGTGCTTGGGTGCCGCTAGCCGTGGTGGTCACCAAGAAAATGATGGCAAACAAGGATGCATCTCTGGCGTACGCTTGTGTGGCAGGCGCGGCGTCAGCTCCTCGCCACCGATGCCCGCCAACAAGGTTGATGGCAGATGCATGCCCAAGGTCATCTCAAGTGCTCGCAACACTGCCCACACTTCCGGTAAACACTTTCCTTGCTGCTCTACCATATCTGCCCACGGTGATGATGCTCTAGAAACATCAGACTTGATGTTTGATAGGGTACAGATGTCCAAAACAATGATGGACATGGTAGTGCAGCTGAAGGAAGTATGTGCTAAGGTCTCCACAATTCTTAATCTTGATTTATTGGGCTCTAGCCGTACCCTTACCAAAGAAATTGCTATGAACAGATCCAAAACCACATCCGATATTATAGAACCTAAGATATACCAGGGGAGGGATGACCAAAAGATGAAAATTGTAGAGGGCATTGTTACTGGCGACTACTGTCCCAATCAACTTAACGTGCTTCCAATTTTTGGACCGGTTGGTATTGGAAAAACAACTTTGACACAACACATATGGGAAGAAGTGAATAGCTATTTCCAAGCTTCAGTTTGGGTTTGTGTCTGTTTCAATTTCAGTGCAGATAGGTTGGCACAAGAGATAGTCAACAAAATCGATAAAGTTAATGATGAAAAGAATAATGCTAGTGCTGAAGAACTTATCCAACAAAGATTAAAATCTAAGAGATTCTTACTCGTCTTGGATGATGTCTGGACACATCATGAGGATGAGTGGAGAAAACTAATATTAACATTCGAGAAGGTAGAGTCCAACGGTAATTTGATTATAGTCACAACTCGAATACCGAAGATAGCAGAAATGGTTAGCAATACCGATTATGAAGTAAATCTGGAAAGGCTAAATGATATAGATACCATGCGTTTATTCGAAGAATGTGTATTTGGCAACGCGAAACAACCATGGGAAGAACATCCTGAATTACTTAAAACTGGTCGTGGAATAGTGCGCCATTTGAAAGGTTTCCCTCTTGCAACTAAAATTGTAGGTAGATTACTAAGAAACCAACTTACTTTGGAGCACTGGAAAAGTGTTCTAGAAAGCAAAGAATGGGAACTGCAAACTGGTGAGAGTGACATCTTGCCAGCCCTCAAACTTACCTATGTTTATCTTCCTTACCATCTAAAACAATTGTTTCTACATTATGCTTTGTTCCCTAAAGATTATGAATATGATAGTAAGGAGATAGTTCAATTGTGGATAGGACTAGGTCTTTTGCATCCATGTGATGAGGATAAAATGATAGAAGATGTTGGACTAGACCATTTGCATGAGTTGGTCAATTACAGGTTTTTCAAGAAAAACAAAGAAAAAGATGGTCGTTGTTGTTATGTTATTCATGATCTATTGCATGAATTGGCCACCAAGGTTTCGTCATATGAATGTGTTAGAATATCTAGTTCTAATGTCAAGTCCATAGGCATCTCCCCATATGTACGTCATTTATCCATAATTGTAGATGATACAGATGTTAATGATAAAACAACTTTCGACTACTATACAAAGCATTTGAGTGCATTAGGTGAAAGATTAAAAGCTGAAAACCTACGTACTCTGATGTTGTTTGGAAAATACCATGGAAGCTTCGCCAAGACCTTTGGTGATCTTTTTAGAAAAGCTAAAGGCCTTCGCACTATTTTTTTATCTGGAGCATCATACCCTATAGAGGACATCCTGCATAGCTTTTCAAAAAATATTCATCTTCGTTACCTAAGGATCGAGCCAAGCAATATGAGACACAACATCGAATTACCGAGTAAGTTGTTCAGATTTTATCATTTAGAGATAATAAATCTAGAAAAATGGAAGTACCCTGTTTCAATAAGACATATCACCAACCTTGTAAAGCTGCGACATTTTCTTGTGCCAGAGAATATGCCTCAAGTTTTTTTTAAAACGAGGCAAAAGACTTGCCATTTTCATTAATTAAGGAGGAGTGAGAATTGCCCGGTTAATTGACGGAAAACCGGGCTAAAACCGATACAATCCAACCCACATAAAATGGGTACCACCGGTCAACCTGGCCACCGACATGGGATCACAAAGCTACAAAGAGGGAAAGACATCCGCCGAGCAGTCGCAAGCGTCATCGTTATCACCGGCTACCTCCGAACGGGCGACTCCGACTTCATCGTAGACCTTCATCATCGAAGCCAACCCGCAAACAGCTGCACAGAAACCATGACGGCACATGCCAACAGAAGGCCACACGCGCGAACAGCCGACAGCTCCGACTCTGACGACGATCATCACAAGGGAAATATGCAGGACTTGCGCCGACCGTGCCCCAAAGAGCACCTCGGACACGCCGGGAAGATCCGACTACCGAAGCCCGAGCCGCGACCAGAGTTCCTCTCGACGCCATCTTCGTTGCCAAACGGAAATCAGCGCCCCCGAAAAGGCCGCCTCGGCAAACTACGCGGCGAAGATGCCACAAACCACGCGGCGAAGATGCCGCAACCCACACGGCAAAGATGCCGCCATCCATCGGTCTCCCAGTCGTTGCCTGCTCCGAGACGATGCCCCCAAGGAGGAGAAAGACGCGAAGACGCCTCCATCGCCCGATCCAGAGGATCTGAGGTTTCCCTCCGGAGCCAAAGCCGTGGGGAGGAGGAGCGCACCTCCACGACGTCGCTTCCAAGAAAGATCACGGCACCCGCGGGCGCCGCCGCCGTCGGCTCCGGTGGAGACCGGAGCAAGGATTTCTCCCGGAGATGTGTCGACCGCCCGCCACCACCGACCGCCGCCAACAAACCACCACCCCTGCCGAGGCCGACCTCACTCCGGCCACGGGATCCCACGATCCACCGCGACCAGAACCGCACCACCCCCTGGCCGAAGCCGCCGTCCACCACCGCAGCACCACCGCAGCCACCACCACCGCAACAACCAACACCACATCGCGAAGAGCAGCACCAGACCGAAGAAGCAGCTCACGCCAGATCCAGATCGGAGCCGCAAGCGAAGCAGCAGAGCAGACGAGCAGGTCCACCGCCCGCAGCACACCTCGCGCTCCGGAGCCGCACCCGCCACGCCCGGCTGGTTCCCGCGCCCGACATACGCCTGCCGCCGCCGTGCCCGGCTGTCGATCCGCGCCCCACGCGCACATCCGGAGCCAGGAGCCGCCGCGCGCCCGTACGCCGTCCACGCCCAGGCCACCGGGAGCCCGGACCGAGGCCGCCGCCCCGGCGTCCCCCACCTCAGCAGCACGACTCGGCCATCGCGAGCCCGCCCGCAGCCGCGCCAGATCCGCGCGCCGGCCCGCACCCGGCCTAGCCGCGCGCCAAGGTTACCGCCCGGAGGAGCAGAGCACCGGCGCCGCCCCTCGGAGCCACCCCCAGGCCGCCGCCGGCCCGACACGCCACCTCGAGGCCAGCCGTCCCGCGCCGACCGGATGTTTCGCGGGGAGGGAAGAAACCCGCCGCCACCGCCGCACGCACGCACGGGCTTCGCCCGGCGGCGGCCCCTGGCGGCGGCGGGGGAGGGGAGAGGCGAGGTGAGGGGTGGCGGCGGCGAGGGTCTAGGGCTACGCCCGGGCCGCTCGCGGGAGCGGCACGGGGTCAATTTTAGGCATCCATACCCGCCGCATGGTATATATATGCCTCAAGTTCATTCTAACATATCTGAGGTGGGAAAGCGTAAATTGCTTTCAGTCTGTATCATCCATCAAGTGTGTAGTTTGAGTTCACTAAGAAGATCTGAAGTTGGAAACCAAATTAATGGTTTCGAACTAAGTCAGCTAGCCCAATTAACAGAGCTTCGAGGGTCACTTAGCATTTATAATCTTGAAAAATGGGCCGGGGGAAAGGAAATAAAGACCAATACACAGAAACCACTTGCGTGAACTAACATTAGAGTGGGATGTGGGACGATCTTACAGGGATCACGCAAGAGAAGAATATGTTCTTGAAGATCTTGTACCGCAAAGTGACCTTCAAGATCTGTGCATTAGAGGGCACGGAGGCATTAGGTGCCCAACATGGCTAGGTGAGAACCTCCTGGTAAAAAAATTGGAATCTCTTCACTTGGCTGATGTATCTTGGAAAACTTTTCCTCCATTAGGAGAGTTCTGGTGGGTCGATGAGCTCCACGATGAGTGCAAGTGTGGCATCTCAAACCCAAACTTAAAAAAAAAAAGTCTTTCAAAATTTGAAAAAACTAGTTTTTGTTAATATACCAAAACTGAAAAGGTGGGCTGGAAATCAAAAGTGTGGGTTCTTCTTCCACCTGGAAGTGCTCATCATTGAAGATTGCCCTGAACTTATAGAGTTGCCGTTTTCATGTTCTACTTGCTCTCGACCAGAGCAAATAGGGAACAGAACTTGGCTCCCTAGTCTACGGGAGCTCAAGATTGTAAGATGCCCTAACCTGAGGACAGTGCCCCCTATCCCTTGGACCCCTACTCCATGCACTATTAATATAGAACAATCAGGATCAAATTTTCAGGAGCTCACTTACTCAGAAGGAAGGTATGGACCGGGATTAAGTTTGGAAATTGAGGCAGCGCATGGTACAGATAACTTGTTTTGGAATGAGTTTGCTTTCTGTAATTTGAGTGGACTAACAAGATTGTATCTATCCGATTGCCCTCCTTTGCCCTTGGATATCATCCAAATGCTAACATGTCTGGAGTACCTCACTGTAAGTGGTCGTTCAAGAATTGTCCTGTCTCCAATCGGAGGCGAGATCCATGTCGTGCAGGTTCCAGTTGAAGAACTCAGCATCTATGAAAGTGGTGCTAGCGGGAAAGAATTGACTCAACTGCTCTCTCATTTCCCGAAGCTCACCAGCCTGAATATAGAAAGGTGCGAGAATATAACAGAACTTGGCGTGTGGGAGCAGCAGAGTGGAGGACAGCAGCAAGAGACAAAAGAAGAGCACAAGAGCAGAGTGGCTATAACAAGTTGCGAAAAGATAGCAGTAATTGGTGTGTCGGAGCAGCAGAGTGGATCACAGCAGCAACAAACAATAGAAGAGGAGGAAATAGTGGTAACGGCAGCAGGATCACTGCTGCTCTTGCCTACCCAACTACAGAAGTTGAGACTCCAACATTGCCGTCAGCTGAGAATAGTCCCCAGTTCAGGTTCAGGGGGCGACAACAATGAAGCAGCAGGAGGTCTCCAGCGTCTAAGCTCCCTCCGCCAATTGCGTGTAGAGAATTGCCCCAATTTGCTTTCCTCCTATTCGGGCTCCTCGTCCTGTTTCCCTTTCCCCACCCCCCTTGAAAAACTCGAACTATCCAACTTGGAAGAAGTCAATCTGGACCTCACAAACCTTTCCAACCTAGAAGAGCTCAATCTTAGCCACATGGAGGCCCTCACAAACCTAAGCGTCAGCCGTTCCTCAAAACTACATACTCTATACATAGAACACTCCCCAGTAGTTCTTTCAGTGTCTACATGCAGCCTCCTCTCTACCTACCTCACCAGATTGATCTTTAAGGGTACCAAAGATGTGGAGCCCATCGCAGAAGAGGCCCTCCTGTTTCTCACCTCCCTCCAAGAGCTCCAATTTGGTTCCTGCCACAAATTGCAGTTCCTCCCTGCAGGTCTACATACACTTGCCAACATCTACTACTTACGTATCGATGAATGCCCATCTCCACAGTTGCTGCCCAAGGACGGCCTCCCAACATCTCTGCAAAAATTACTGATCGAGGATTGCCCTGCCATCAAATCGCTGGCCAAGTATGCCCTCCCGAGTTCACTGCAGGAATTAGTGATCAGGAAGTGTCCTGAAATCAAATCGCTTCCTAAGGACGGGCTCCCAAAATCCCTCCGACTACTAGATGTTCGTGATGACAATAGCGAGAAGCTTAAAAGGCAGTGCCGCAGGTTAATAGGGACAATTCCAATAATCATGGCCTGATGAATCTTTCCAAGGTAACAAACACGTCCTTACCCTCTTCTCATTCTTATAGTTCCTACTCACCAGTTCCCTTGCTTTTGCTAACCTCGTGACCTTCGAAAACATTCAGATATTTTTTTTGTTTCATCTGAACTGAATAGCTCACTTGTTTTAATTTTCTGTGCAGGGCTCTCCTTTTCTCTTCTTGATTGGTACATCATCAACGTCGTACAATTCTCTCTGTATACAAAGTACAGTTGGCTCTCAGGCTCTCAGTTGCCTGTGCCATCCATCATGTACGTAATCAAGAGTACGTAACCATCCCACGCTCTAATAATTTCCTGCCCTGCTTAGAAATTTATTCTACAGTACATTAATCCACTACTTTAACTGTTCACACGTCAAATTATTTCTTTGTGTTGCTTTACCTCATTACTGCATAGTCTTAACAGCTTTCTGTCTCCATCTACTCTTGCAGGATTTTATCTTCTTAACGGTGCAGCAAGTTTCAGGGACAATTCCAGTAAGTCAAATCTGGTCAGGTAAACAAAACACTTCTTTATTCTCTAGTACCTGTTCCTAGTACTACACACAAGCCTACAACATGAATTTCCTTCTTTCTCTAACCTAATAAACATCAAAGCTGTTCACCTTTTGTTTGATTTACGGTAATTATTGTCATTTCATCTGAATAAACCACATCTTTTAATACTCTATGCAGGGCTTGCTTTTTGCCTTTCCGGTGTGTACATCTTCTAGCCTGGTTGAATTCTCTCCGTATCCAAGCAGAGTCCTCTCACACTCAGTTGCCAACGTGAGCACAAATTGCATCTTACATCCATAATCTCATAGTTCTATTTACTAATACAACGTAATGAGTTCTCTGAATAACCCACTGTTAATACTCTGTGCAGTGCTCTATTTTGAAGTTTCAAAGTTTTGTGCCGTTCAAGGACTCACTGTCCATCCATGCACACTTCTCACATGAGGGTCTTGTGGCAACCTCTGCCTGTACATAAATCTGGTCAGTATGTACATTTGATCGTCATAACATTTCTTTTGGGGTCTGATTTGCCTCGTACTGCATAATCTGAACAAAGTTCTGTTTCCATTTATTGTGCAGGACTCTATCCTGGAATTATACATTTTTGTACACTTGTAGTATTCACTCCAACACTTGCAGGATTCCTACAAGTGTTATAGATCTGGTATGTGCGTACATCGGTACATGTAGAATGAAACTTTAATACTACTCTAGCATATAGTATAGATACCTTGATCATTTCAGTAAGTAAAAGTAATTGTTTCCTAGTTGTGCCAAGTAAACGTTTTATTAAGATTAAATGACGTACCAATCTTGAAGAAGTTCTTGCATGCATTAATCTTGTCTTCACTTAAACAATGAAACATTGTATGTTTCTCGGAACCAAGCTAGGGGAAAGCCTGTGAACTTTCTTAATCCAAGGCAGTGTACCCTAGGACTTTAGAAGATCTACATTTGTTAAGCTCTACTTTTTATCTTCATACTAATGTCTGGTTTCTTTTAAACCAGATGTAGGAGCTCTACAAGTTTAACTACAAGGAAATGGATCATAATTACTACAGCAACATGAAGTCTCACAAATTCATCATGTGACGTTTTGAAGTTCTGCTGAATCTCATAAAAAAATTCTGAAGTTTTCTCAGTATAGGAAAGGTTCTGGGAACCACCAGCTTCTGCAAAAAAAAATGTCCATTGCTGTCCATGTAATACTGTGCAATTTTGATCAGCCAACACTAAATTAGGATGTCACTTGTCCAGATGATTTACATGCTGCAAAGCTGTTTACGCGCAAACTATCCTCACTTACTAATGGGTGATGCATTGTAAGTGCCTTACTCTGGCTGATCTGTTCCATATTTCAATTAGAAATGTACAATCAGATGCTAATGTTATGATGTTATATACTCTGGTCTGTTCAGATCAATCTCGGTAAAAGGTTGGTCCTGTGGGTTGAGGCAGACCTGGTTCTCCTGGTAAGCAAGTTGTCATGACATAGTTGAGCTCAGTCCAGCTGAAGAGATGCTATCCTGGAGGATCTCAATCTGCATCTTCCATTCTGTCCATAATCTGGTTAGTACATGCACAATCATACTGTACTTCGATAGTTTTATGCATTGTTCATCGACACCCTGATGTTTCCTTGGTTTTATCTCTCCCCAGTTAATCTTTTCTGATCCGACACACGAAAAACCATTCTTGAGGTTTATTTTTGCCTCATTGCTGCTTAAACTGAACAGTTCTCTGTTTCCATTCATTGTGCAGGGCTCTCTATCTTGGAGTTGTACATTTTTCTACCCTTTTAAGACTCATGTCATCCATGCATGATGCATAGTTCTCACAAGATGGTCTTGTGTTATTTTCTTCAGGCATATAAATCTGGTAAATACATTTGGTCTTCAAGTTGAAACTCTTAGTACTCAGTTTGTTCCCAACCATTTGATCTTTCAGTAAGAAATCCAAGTAGCCTCTTGAGATATCAGATATTCAGATATAAACACTGAAACGAATTTATTCAGTTTTCCTTTTTTTTCTCAGAAACAACTTCTCCTAAACCATTAATTGAAGATTTCTTCTCCACACCACTTATCTTCTCAAAATGTTGACAAATCAGTTAATCGCATTTCAGTGTGCCTTCATTTTTTTTGTTCCGGGAAGAAATTTGTGGTGTGCTCACGATTCTATCTTGTGTGCAGGTGTTCTTATATTCGCTCTGCTATGCTTCAAATTACTTTCATTAAAATCTTCGTGGTAACTCATGAAGACATGGTTTTCAAGTTCGCTACACTTCCAGAACCTTTTCATACAGTTTACATCTTCAGGTTTGCATTTTATCGTGACAAGATGCCCTCCAAGCCGATCATCCTTTTATCTTATGTTGCTAGCCTCATCGGTACTTGGCATTGCATTTCCTACATTGGGATCTAGCATACTCCGCCAGTACATCCCAACCATTGTGGAGTTTCTCACTAAAAAAAGAGTGAGATGTGAGAGATAAGAAACCAAGGTTGATAGAACAGTTGAATATCAACCGTGAGAGAAAAAAATGGCCAAAAGGTAAAATGACCAAAAAAAGGAAAAAAAAAAGAGAAACTCCCGTTAAGCCACTTCAGTTTTCCAAAGAGTCCACCATATCTACCTATCATAGTACCTCCTCATTTGCTATTCCAAGTAGTGGATCCTTTTGCCATGCACTTTTGAATTTTTCTTTGTACATCTTTAAAGGAGGCATAATAGTCATCATGTTTAGCGCTTTTTGAAATTCACCAACCATTTTATGCCTCGCTTTTATTTTCATATATATAAGAGCTTCCGTCGGCACCTATCAATCTTTTGTAGGGCAGAAAAAGAGAGAGAAATGGAAAAGAAAGAAAGAAAAAAGAAAAAGAAAGAAGAAAGAAAAAGAAAGAAAGAAAGAAAGAAAGAAAAGATAAAAGAAAGAAGTAGAATAAGATAGGTGACATATTTTCTCTCTATCAAGCTCTTTGTGTTCACTTATTCTTAGGCTTATACTTTATCACTTTTCTTACCAACCATTTATTCATCATGTAGAGCTTAGAACCATTATTCATCATGTAGAGTTTAGCACTCATAGCTAATTCTATTTCATCTTAGTGGGATGGTTTATTTGCATATGCTTACGAGGACTTCATATCACTTCATATCAATTGTGCATACCTTGGCAAATCCCTACTTCCCATGCAACATCGAAACTGAGGAAATCACACATGCCTTGGGATCACTCTGCGTTACATTTTATCTTTTCCTTGTCGACTCACTCCCATCCTTTCACATCATTTTCTAATGATCGGAAACACAAGGCTTCTTGGTTCATGATGAATGCTTACTTGATTATGTGATCTGTGCTTCCCAATACATGAATTGGTTTGTACTACTGAAAGACTTTGTATCATGAAGCATCCTTTTTAGTATATAGTACTAAAGCTACAGTGTTGAAGGGACACTCAAGAGTCAAGAGTCAACTTCCTCAAGGTTAATCAAATGCTTATTAAAGTTTATCTTGGTTTATACTGCTCCATCTCTTATTTAAGTTTTCCCTAATGATCTCCATCTCCATCTCCACTACTTATAAAAGATCCAACATTATCTTCTCTAAACGCACCCACAAAACGTACACGGACTAATTACCACCGCAGGATTAGGTCCGCTAAACTTAATCTAACTGTCAGTTTTAATCTAATGCATTCTTTGTGTGCACTTAGTAATTTAAGTTGGCTGACCGTACTCCACCACCGGAGAGAAAAATGCCAACTCCACGTTCGACAACCCCTACAATCACGCAATGCGAAGAAAAAAAGAAACCAATCGCCCGAGCTGCCGCCGCAGGGATGAGACGACGCCGATCCTCCCACTCCCCACCTGCCCCCAATCTTCCCGGTGCCACCCCCAGCCTCTTCCACCTCCAACCTCCTGCTGCCGGCCACCGTCCTCAGCCACGGGTCGAGCACGCCGTCTCTGGCCTGGAGGCATCGACCACGAACTCCATGTCACCATTGACGCCATGGCTTGCGGGATTAGATGGTTGTCCATCTGTTTCTCTTGGTCGACGGCCTCCTCGCCCATGGTCAGATCTGCGCATCGCCGGCCCTGACAGTCCGCCATCCTGAGGGCCATGCCCCCGATCCGTGTCTGGTCCGGGTGGTCGTCCGCCCGTCCGCCACTTCGTGCGCCGCTGGCATCGGGTCGGTAGCCACCTTGCCGCGCAGTCCATCCACCTGCAAGACGCGATCCATGTTCGACATCCATCAGGCACCATCATTCAGGTAGCTACTGCTGTTTGTTTGACTGCTGCTGATGTTCCTTTGCCTGTGGCTGCTATTTGTTATTTTGTCTGGATTGCGGGAGAGCAGGGAGGATTGCTTGCTGCTGTGTTTAATGCGTGAG